TTGTCACGCCCCAACCCCAAGGTCAAGACGTAACAAACGCCACACATCTATAGGGATGACCCCATAAATGTGTAAGGCTACCTTAACTAAACAACTTTTAGTGTCCAAATGCAATAAAATTATATTCTATAGGAAACTCCATCTTTATTAACATGTATGAGAAGTTTTTCACATCCAAAACACTTAATTCTCACTTCATAAAATCCAACATAAAATTTAATAGCAACAAGTCATAGCAAATAGATCTTCAATTCTAATTATTCAACAATCCAGAATAACTTAAACTAAACCAAAGAACTACTCTAGAATCGTTGTGCCTCTCACTCCCAAATGCAACCCCAAATGCTTACTTGTCTGTACCTGAAATGAGATGAGATTTAAAAGCATAAGCTAGACAGCTCAGTAAGAGTATATCCATCTAGTTCAATCAAGCATTGTATTTCAGTGAAATAGTAATTAAATAAAGTAAACGACTTTTCAATAAGGAAACCACATTCCCAACTAGATGAAAAGAAACAACAATTTCAAGTTCTTCAGGCTGCATCACACTCCAAATATAGCATCACACTCCACATCACACTCCATGATAAGTAGATCCCGGGACTACTATCATACCCTCAGTATACCCCTGAGGAACGGGTTAATTTATCCAGCCAACCAAGAACATGAAAACCCGATATCAAAAGAAAAATTATTTCCAATTTAATAAACCACACTTTTCGATAGAAAACAGTCCACACTCAAAATGGTTGATCAACATTCATCTCGTTTCATTATAAAATATTCTTATTCTTAAGACATAGTAACCAAATAAAATTATATAAAATACGCTGAAAAGGTAAAATAAAATTTCAATAAAACAAACCTTTTAAAAATAATACTAGAGGATATAACAACTTACCTCGAATAATTAATCAATATTTCCACTCGACGCTGCCTCTTGAATTATTGAAAACTTTCGTACTATCTTCTTTGTTAGAATTGAAAAGATCTACAAATCATAGGCCATATTGCTAGAATCAAATCCTAACATGGAATAGAGTTCCAAAAATTCTCTCAATTCCTCTTCCAATTCACATTCTTAATTATAAAGTTAGATCTAAGAACAAAACCATCACATAATTGGGAAACTTACCCTAAAATTTCCTCAATTTGGCTAATCCGACAATCTATTGGACGGAAGCCCCTTTCTTATGCTTCACAAATGGCGACAGCACTTCAAAAGTGGGCGACAGCACTTCAAAAGTGGGCGGCAGCATTCCAGCCTTCTCCGCCAACCCCTAGTCCGTTTTCTATTTAGGTTTTAGTAAAAACAAATGTATAATATTTGGTTAGTCCTTTCACTCTTGATTCCTTTATAGTTAAACCTCTTAATTCCCTCTCCTTACATTTAAATCCTTTAAGGGCTTAAATAAAATTATTTAAAAGTAATAAAATAAAATAAAATAAATGCCGGATATTACATTAATTATGAAGATTAAGTAAGTAATTTATTTTATTTTTTATTATATCTTAATATCCTCAATTTTGCTTTGTTGATTCTTAAACGTGTTAGCAGAGCCATTAAACTTCAGATTAGGATCCAAATCTTTTATTTTTATTATCATTTCCGTGCTAATTTGAAGAATGGATTAAGATTTTTGATCTTGATGTTATATGCCTGCCACCTCAACTTAGGTGGTTGCAGCAGTTGGATTCAAAATCTAATGGCTATTAATCTTTTTTTCTTTTGAAAACTTTTAAAATTAATTATTTTATTAAAGTATAAAAATATGATTAAAAAATATAAATTTATATAAAATAATATAATTTTAAATATATAAAATGTGTTTTAGTTGTGTGATTTTTAAAAAAGTTTTGTTTTAAATAAATATATTTTTTTAAACATTTTGTCATGGGACCGGCTCAAATCGTTGCCTTTAGAAAGGGGAAAGGGGATATGAACCTTATAAGAGTGGTTAAAGCTACTTGACCCATGGAATTAAGTTCGTTTTAAATAGACATTTGAGTGAGGTGTTTTGTTAAAAATTTATTTAAGAATTTAATATATAAAAATATAAATTTATATAAAATAATATTCATCTTAATAAAATGACACCAAATTAAACTTTTGGATGTGTCTTTTTTTCTTTTTTTTTTTTTTGGTTCGTGCTCACTTACATGTCGAATAACACTGGGATTAACTTGACCTCTACTTATGACCTACATCCTGCAAGTGATCCTTCTTTTTTGGTTTCTATTGCATTTAGTTCATTTAATATTATCATTGTGCTGTCTTTCCTAAAAAAAATATATTATCATTGTACTGTCTGCCACTTTTTTTTTTTTTTTAAGTTAATTGGATTGTTTTGTAGTGTACTTTATTTCTGCGTCTTTTTCTCATTTTGTTTATTTTTTAATGTACACTATTTTAATATACTTTCGTTTTGTGGGTGTGTTTAATTAGGCCACAATTTCAGCAAGGAAAAAGGTGTTTCCAGATGCCATTCACAGATTCTGTGCAAGGCATATATAATGCCAATTTTCAAAAGAGGTTCAGAGGTGATTATTTGATGGAAATTGTTCTGCATTGCAGCACGGTCAACATATGAAACTCAATTCAGATAAAGCATAGAGCAAATTAGAACGATCAACCCCAGAAGCATATGATTATTTGACTAAGACATTCAATGTGATGTCGTTGACTAAGACATTCAATGCATGGATCATGGCTGCAAGATATAAATCCATCATACAGTTGTTAGAACACATTAGGGTGCTGGTTATGAAAAGGCTTGCTAGTAAGATGCATGAATTGCCTAAGGGGAAAAATGGGACATTGCACCCAAAAAATAGGGAAAAAAATTTGAGGGCACTAAGCTTCCAAGTACTGAATTTTTTGAACGTAGAGAAATTAAGAAAAGAAAAATTACATTCCAAAAATTTAAATCATAATAGTGTTTATAATCTAGGATGCAACTTACCATTGCAGTCACTATTGCAGGTGCGCTGCTAAGTACCGAATGTGTGGCCACAAGAAGTGAAATGCTATATATGTCAACAAGTGGGCCACGGCAAGCAACGTAGCCCCAAAATGCCAACTGCATAAGTAATAGATCAGTCATCCATTTTGCAGGCTTTTATAAACTTTTTTTTTTTTTTTTAATTATTGGAGCTAACACTTTATGCTACATTTTGTCCCACAGGAGAAGTGCAGGACCAAACAGAAAACAATGAAGTGGAACGTACTAGAAAACGTGAAACTTGCGGTTATCGCAAAAAACAAGGCGATAGCTAGCAGAACCACACATGCATCGCCAAATGTAGAGTTGACAAAGTAAGAATGAGCAGTGCTATGGGCACTGCCACTGGCCCACAAGCACTCTCTTTAACACTCCCCCCTCTCTTGTTGACACGTTTGGATAAATATCGAGAGAAAATAGACATAAATTGAAAATTGAGAAATAATGGTTACCCATTTATCTTTAATTTTCTATTTTCTCACTTAGTACTATCTTTTTTTTTAGTGAACTGGTGATGATGAGTTCACAGGAAATTTTTTTTTTGTACTTTATAAATTCATTTGACTTTACGATATTTATAAATATTTTAATTTTTAAAAATTTTTTAAATATTTTAAGTTGAGTAGTAATAATTAAGGTAATTTTTGTAAAATATTTATTTATTTTGTAAATATATTTTACTTTATATCTTTTTTTATTTGTATGAAATTTTTTTTTTCTATTTGAAGCTGTTTTTGTAGTAATTGTTTTTTATTTCATATATTCATATGAAATTTTTTTAGTTTGATTCTTAAATTAATTATGTTTTAAATTAAATAAATTAGATTTGACAAAAATCATTTTAGTTTCATAAATTTTTATCATAGAGTA